ATGAAGTTCCCCCTAACAATGTTATCTCAGGAGATTCATCGAAACCAAGTTTCTCTTCGTATCTGAAATAGTGTAAACTTAATCTTTCTGTTGGTTAAGAATGAAATAGCCAAAAAAATCTTTGGAGGCCTGATTAAGATCGCAAAATCAGGTATAAAAATGAGTTGGACTTCAGCCGGCCACCTTTATTTTTTTTGGGTTTTTGGTGAATCTTTCCTAAATGATAATTTATAGCTCTGAGAATGTCTTTCATGGGGAGACAGGACGCAAGTTCATCACTGATCGGGGCTTCAGGACGGTGATTTGAGGTTTTCTTCGCACAATCAAGCATTCACACATCCTTGGTAATCTTTCTTCAACGTCTGGGAGACAAACAAAATGAAAGGTACGCCAAAATTAACCGCAGCTAAGGAACTATATATCAGAAGATTAATCGAAAACTATTTATGTCTCGAAATAAATGTAGAGGACAGAAGTTTCTCGAATCCTCAGTGAGTAGAGCAAATGCAACTTTTGGGTCAGTTGGAGGCTACTGACTTACATTTAAAGCCTGCATTAGGATTCTATATTTTATGCTCATAATTTTTGATACCAAAACCTATGTTTCTAACTTGTTGTTTTATCCTCTTTTTTTGATTCCTAATAAGGTACTGTCAACATTTTTGCAAAATTGCCTGCCATTAGTTGCTAAATAACAACATTAGCAGATGAAAATTAAATCAGAGGACCTGTAACTTTTATCAAATTTGAAGAAATTAAATATAAATTAGTTATCTCATTTAACCTGACGATTGATGTTTCTGTAAACAAAAATCTATCCATTCTGATTTGAGACGGTTTACGCTTAATCCATCTTTTTTCAACTTCAACACAGCTGATCTGTTCTTTAGTTGCGCTGGCGATGCTAGGGCAAGTTTCATCATATCCTAGCGTTAGCAGCCTTCACAAAGTATTAACTTATAGCCAAGACGAGGACCAGTCACATCAACGTGTGGGAAACTGTAATTTTTTGCTGCGGTCTCGTTTTAATCTGCATACTGCATATTTATTTGTTCGAGATAGTTGATTCTTTCAAAGATGGTAGATCCTTCTGCTTTACGGTATCGCATTTTTCCACTGCTTACCTTTCTAGCCGGTAACAACTATGAGACACAAAGGTTGTCTCTAAATTCCGAATGTGCCACTTGTACCTTCCACACTCACACCATTGGCACAGGTAGGAATGTTTCCTTCAAACCTCTACACTAACCCTGGATTCGAGCAATCGATAATGAATGGCATTTGGTTTCTTGTGGTCCGTTTCCCAGATCAGCATCTTATGCATGTCCTGCTATGAGGTCACATTTGTGGTTTTACCTTAACAATTGAGACAAATATATTGTCGGATAGGCAAGATGATACTGCAGATAAGACCGGTAATAAATTGACAGCAGAAGAAATTCACGTGACCGCTGAAGGTGGACACTACTTGGGATGATTTGGCTGGAGTCTGTACATCAAGAAATCATGAACGTCTTTAGTTATGTCTTTTCCTGTTGATGGTTAGACTGATTCTTAATGAGTTGAAATGACCGCTGTGCTCTATGGAACAAGTTTTTTGCCATACACCCAAAAGGAATCTGACCTGGACTACCGCTCCCCAGATTGACCACGGAGTAGCTCGCCAAACTTTCAATTGGGCGAGTGCATCCAGTTTGTTGCTGGTGAATGTCACCTTATGCTCACAATTAAATGTGAAATTATTGAAAAAACTTATATCATACTTTTATTCTTATTTAATGCGAGGATATACGGTGAAGCTGGGCGTAGTGCAGGCCAAGTGAGAGATAAACGATCCTCATTCTTTTTACATCCCATTTTCAGTCTGTTTTTCAACCCTTTTTTATCTCGTCATTTGGGCCAGATTAGCCTTGAACTACTTGTGCATCATCATACCATCAGAAGGAATTTAGTATAAGCTTCCGTCCCTAATTTGTTTGATATCTTCGACGTCTTTCTCACTCTGCCAAAGCAGCAAGAGTATCCTATCCGCGAAGTGTTGTTACTATTCAGGTGTCTACTTTATTCACACAATAATCAGTATCCTAATCAGCTAAAAGACTTTGGCCTAGACTATGGGTCTTGAAGCCTGTTCTTGCGGAGGTTAGTATCTACAGTCTTCTTCGAAAATATTCGCTTTTCTGTCATTGAGCTGGAGCTCAGCGAATTCTTCAATTCCTCTATTTGAGGCTCTTCTTTCTGAGACATCTTTTTGGGAATTATCTGTTTGCCTGAAGATAGATATGATCCCAAACTGACTCACAGAAAAATTCGGCTCAGGATAAAGATAGTATACTGTTCAACTTGGCTGCACTTTGATACCATCCTTCAAAAGCTTAGTGAACCAAAATTCTGGATTCAAGTGAGAGGTAGTCATTCTTAGCATTGCAAATGGGTACCTTGGATACTAGAATTTCAGTAAATATGGTGCAAGACGACCCGACAGTGACGTCTTCTGTACCTGAAACAATTCGCTCTTACGAATCCCAAGTAAACGTATTTCTTGTGAAGTTCGATTAGGACATATGTATTCGGTAATATAGTAGTTCTCTGAAAAAAATGAGCTATATTTTCCACTTCTTCGCTATTTCCACATTGTCTAGGCTTCAGACGTATCCAAAAGAGCTTGGATGCTTCCACTGAGAAGGTCCGATCAAATAGCCTGAATCTCGCTTTGCTACGTTGTAATAAGTTCAGATAGGAACTATTAGTAGAACCTATCATTCAATCTATTTCGTTTAAGGTAGTTAGGTTCCTCTCACAATTATATGAATAGGTCTTATGTTTCTATTGAATTTCATACAGCCTTGCTTTCCCAAAAGATATTCTCTTCCTGATAAGTGTGGACTGCAGTTTCAGCCTCATCTAGGTCTCATCAGTACCCTCAGCCGGACTCGAACTGCTATAGCAATCGAACAGATTACTTTTTTAACCTTTATACATAAGAACATTTCATATATATATGATCTACTGGTAATCTCGAAGTCCTACTTTAACAATTAAAATAAGTAATGTAATCGAATGTATTAATAAATTCAACTTTGCTTCATCAATAGTCCCATCAAAGAAATGTGATATGAGAACCAAGATAAATACTGGCACTGTGACGTAGGAGTTAAGATTTCGAGATTATACTACTACTCTGGTTCGATTCATGCTGGGGGCTGATAAGACCGAGTCGAGATTTAAACTGCAGTCCAGCTCGGATGAGAATACTTTTTTGGGAACAGGACTGCTTGTAATTGATTGGAAACCTGAGGCCTAGTTATGTAATTGTGGGGAAGTTCATTCCATAGTCGTTTATCTGCTTTAACGGAATATGGTGAATACTTATTATATCTATGATCTATTGGTCGTATCGAAGACCCAACTATAAAGTGAAATTAATAGATGGGTTCTCATAGAAGCTTAAGAATGTAATTGCGTTGCATATGAATCATATGACAAATAGCCATTTAAAAGTACAGTGTAGGAATAGATGATCAGTACCACTATCATGAAACTTAAGTAAAATGATCAAATAGTGTTGAAAGTAGATAAAGATAGAGCGATAGAAGGGATATTTACGGTAAACAATGCGGAGAAAATGTCACAGAATGTAGGTGACTATATAACAGACAGGATTATAATCATGGACTTAACAAAAGGTTGCCTTCAAAACTGGAAAAATAGCGGAGAATAAGAGGGATGGAAAGTGAAAGTACTTCTTCATTTCCTGAGGTCATGCCTATGGTTTGCCCAAAATGTATAAGAAAAGTGTCCTAGTTTGGAAGTTTCTAAGAAATACGGGTTCTAGGATGCATGAACCATCAAGATATGATTGTATACAGTTGAAGCAAATCTCCACAACATAGAAGTTTCAAAAAAGAAACTTCAAATTGAGTGGATGGAGAGTCGTTAGAAGGTGTTGACTTGTTTGCAACTTTCTATTTAGTGTCCATGTGCATTAATATTACGACAAACGGTGCCACACAAGGGTTAACGTTAGAGTTGGATCATATGCCTCAGGTCATAGTAGTTGAATTGATAGACGAAATTTCAACCAACATATTGTCTAATTTAATAATGGAGAGTAGATATTTAGACGTTGTTTGATCTTGTTTTCGCAAATTGGTCATATTGGCAGAAAGATCTAGAAGAGCGCATCTTGTCTGGAGTCCATCATCATTTCCAGAGTTAGACAGGAAACTTGATTCATTCTCAGAAGTTTCGCCGGCATCGTTAGTGAACCTTGACATTCTTAGCATCACACCACAAATCGTCAAAAAGACAAATGCAGTCGATCTTTTGACCAAATGTCTATCAGGCAAGATGGCAGAGAGGATACAAACGTTGGTGTCCAACCCTACAGGCTGGCATCATTGCAACAGCACACAGTATCCATCGAAAGTAGGAAGTTGGAAACACTAGATAGTTTATGTAAGGTAGTTGAAGTTTCCCATAATGATATGAGTATAACTTATATTTTCACTTAATTTTACACAGCTCTGCTTTTCCAAAAGGTATTCCCATTCAAGCTGGACTACAGTTTCTACCTCAAATAGGTCTCACTCCTATCGAAGTAGGACTCGAACTGGGATAGTGCAGCGTATAATCTCGGAACGCTAACCTGGATGAGAATGCCTTTAGGAAAAGTAAGACTATGTGAAATTCTAAGAATAATTGAGTTTTTATGGATCTCATGGGATATTCATTGGTAACTTCATGTCTCCTTATTTACTTATGGAAACATTCAACCACCATTCCTTCATCAGCTTAACAAAATATGGTAAATACACCTTATGTATATGAAGTAAAAAACCTAGTTATAAACGAAAAATACTATAGGTAATCAAAACATGACTATGGATTCCTTCATCGGGCACACGAAGCGAAGGTCAGGAAAAGCTTTTTATTCCAGAAGATTTACCAAAATTAGATTCTACACAGTTGCTAGTTAATTTGCAAAATTTCATTTAGTCACTCATTCAAGCCTCATTTTTAATTTAGGGCATAATACTTTTCCGGATTGTACCGACAAAAACTGTCTGCTGATGCTGTACGTCATAATAGTTCCATGCTGTGTAAAAAGTTGTTTTCAGCATCGCAAGTCTGAGTGGGTGAAAGTGACGTTGGAGCAATCTTTGGAGACTGCTGTACAAAAGCAAGCCTCAACTCTTGATTTGCGCAACCCGTATATGTCCTCTGGCTTACTTTTCACTCAGAACGAGCGTGAACAGCGTCATTTGGTACTCACTCCATTCATTAATTTGCTAATTGTACAAAAACGCCTCAGTCGCTCATGCTGGTACAATCACAATTTGGGCCTAAAATTGCATATTGTGTTGTCTTCACTTGACTCATTCCTCTTTTAGAGCCCTACATCTTCGGAGATGATCCGCTCCACTTCTTCGACTGCCCAACCCCCACCCATCCCGAAGAGGCGCGGCCATACAGCGTCTATCTCCTCTGATTCGGCCACTCTGTCCACTCCTGTAGGCCGTCGTCTCGACCGTCGGCTTGACGATGAAGCGACCTCGAAATGTGGCCTAGACCCGCGTCCAATGACCGGATCAAACGACGGTCGTTCTGTGGTGCCTTGGCAGACGGACGACTCTCCCTCTGTACTGGCCCATCCGGACGCTCGACTCTCCCGACCTACAGACCTCGGCCTACAGGATGGGCGTCCAACTGGCACTGGCCGGTGTGAAGACAAGACGTTGTCTTCTCAATTCCAACAGCGCCAGTTGCCAGACAGCAGTTCTGAGACTGCGGCTCTTCTGGAGGCGGCGGAGGCAGCTGCGCTCAAGAGTTCGTCCGCTCTGGCCCACGATGCGCCCCAGTGGGTGCCGCCAAGCCTGGCCGGACTGAGCAAGGCAGAGAAGTCTGGCGCAACGATGACACCGGCACTGACGACAGTCGGACCTTCCAGCTCGCATGAAGACCAAGTGCAGACGGCATCGCGATGCTATCGCGAACGCAGACGCCACACGACGCCGCAATTCCCCATCACCAACGCGCTGTTGTTGCGTCAGGCAACAGAGGCTGCTGAGAGGTTACAGCCTGTGGAGGATGAGAACAGAAGACCGACAGACAGTGTCGCCAACCCGACAACCGGACAGGGTGTAGACGTTGGTGTTAGACCCTACAGACAGGCATCATTGCAACAACACACAGTATCCATCGACAGTCGGGAGTTGGAGTGGCTTCGGGCGAAACAGCGCTCACATCGAAAGCATTTAGGTCTGTTGCTTGATTTGTATGCTTATTGAAATGATCGACAGACGTTTGCTGTATGGGCAAAGAATTCAGATATGAAGAGGGACTGGGTTTCGACAAATCTCTTGAGATAACAGTGTTAGGGGGACTTTAATTTTGTATGAAAGCACATGAAGAAGAGATTCGTTGGTCGATCTCACCAGATGAAGATTGATAAATCCCTCAAAAAAGATAGGCGAATTAATAAAGAATAAGGGCATAAAAACAGTGTTCAAAGAAACCCTCACACTTTCTTTTGTTATGTCATCTTTTTAAGAGAAATATAACCCATTATCGAGATCCGACTGGTACAAGATTGTTTGCTCATTTGGTCAATGTTATGTTGGTGAGACATGCCGAGCTATTCGACAAAAAATGGGCGAACACAAAAATGCTTTTAAAGGAAGCTGTGTCCAGCGGTCAAAAGTGACCCAACATATGGTAGAAACTGGACATGAAATAAAATGGTCGCAAACTAGTAGGTTTGTTGATTATGGCACGTCTGTGGTTAAAAGAAAGATAAGAGAGGTTATTGAAATAAGTGGATTAGGAAATACGTTGAATGTGAGAAACAGTGGTAGAAAGTTGATTAGGAACGAATTATGCTTGGTTGATAGATTGAAAGAGAGAGAGGGTGTTGAGCCGCGGTCAAAAAGAAGACGACTCCATTTGTCTGCTCGGTAATGATTCTATCTTCACTCACATTCGTCCAGTTTTACTCTTTGTTCACCCTAGACTGAGAGGTTATGACAAGTGGTTTTGTAGCTTGGCTTGCATGCTTACAAGCTCACATCTCATTATCTCAACCATACTTGTTTACGGACTTACGCAGTCTCGGTCAAATCTTTCTATTGGGTCAGAACCTGAGATTAAACCTTTGAAAACTCTGATTTAGGAACCATATTGCATATAGACGCTAACACACACACATACACATACGCATACACTCGAGCAAAAGTAACAGGACCAGTATGAAAGATAATTAACCAAACCACTATCTATCTATCTATCTATCTATCTATCTATCTATCTATCTATCTATCTATCTATCTATCTATCTATCTAGGTTTTTAATTTCCTTTTGGCTCAATTGAGTCTATGTAGGAAGTAAGATAGAGCCGGATAGTGTTTTTGCTTTAGTGTTTACGTGAGACTCTTGCAAGAATGAAACCCAGCTCTGATGATGTCCATCAAATGATGGACGAAAGCTCAGCACGTTTTCACCCGAAACGAGGGAGGAGGTCTAGTTGACTGCGCCAACATGAATATCGTATAAAAGCTAAACGGCTGAGGTTTAACGAGATTTATCCGTCCTCATGTTGTGAGATCGACCAACGAATCTCTTCTTCATGCACTTTCATACGAAATGAAAGTCCCTCTAACAAAGAATTCCGAGTATACAGTGTGTGGATATATCTTGTGTGGATATAATCCAGCCATGTAACTTCCAAACAGACTGACTTGAATTGTGGTAAATCGGCTAAGACTATAGTATTTGTTGAGTTCACTTCATTTTCGAGAGAATGTGTGTGATGGAACGTTTCAAAGATCCCATAAAAAGACGAAGACAGATTTTTATTGGCGTTAGTTCAGATAAGCTCGTTTGATTAAGAGGAAAATTCGAATAAGACGAACATCAACATAGCAGGCTATCATTCTTATATTTTTGCTTTGCCTATTAGTAAGTTTTTCGAGACTACAAGATCATTTATATATGAAGTGTATTCGACCTACTTTGTTTAAGGTGATAAAGGAACTGTTAGTAAAATTTTCTCATAATCATATGAGTAGGCTTTACGTTTCCATGGAATTTCGCATAACCTTCCTTCCAGATTCAACCACCAGTTCTTCATCACCTTAAACGAACTATGATAAATACAGCTGGCACTCACAAAAATCCAATTTATGAAGCTAAAAACGAAAGCTATATTATATCAAGCTTGTTTGCAAAAAATAAAGGAAAGGGGAAAATTATTTAAGTTATTAGATATTAAATCTAGACTCAGACATGACTTAAGTCAGATTCTCACCCCGGAAGACCTCCTGAAATTGCAGAAGCTGACAAGCAAATTGTCAAAAAAGATCTCGGACTTAATGTAGAAAACGTACCGGAAGAAGCTGACTAAATATGGAATCTATAGGCAGCCCAAGGTCTAACCTGCTGGAAAAACTTAAGGTGCGGTTAGGCTGATGGGTCTCAAAGTCGAAACAAGTAATGAGGATAAAGTAGTGCATCTATCTTCCTTCCCTCTTGACATGGCAACCACAGAGATCCAGCGAAAAGGACTACATTTTTCCCTTCCGAATGAAAGAAAGGCGATGAAGGACATTTTAGTGAAGGTGATAAATGCCTCTGAGAAGCTGCGTGAAAAATCAAAAAGGGAGCTGGAAATGGAAATCATCCCAACAATCGTAGCTCATCAAGAACCCACACATAGAGACAGTATAAACAAGGTATATAAAGAATTGAGAAGAAAAGATCCAATAGTCCTACAAGCACACTAAGGTGCCACAATGGTGATGGACAGAAGGGAATATACAGAGAAAATGGAGAATATTATCGGTGATAATACAATGTATAGAATAGTAAAAAAAGGAAAAACACTTAAAGTCAGAGGGGCACCACAAGAAAATGAATTGGAACTGGGAAATCGACAAATGGGCAATGAATTCACTCATACGAATGGATGCAAGAGCCCCACTAGCATACGGTTTGCCAGAAATACACAAGAAAGGAGAACAATTGGGACTTACAATCAACAAGAAATACTGGGCAACGCATAAATTGGCGAAATTTATCCCCCTTAAATTGAAGAAAGTGAATGAGAGACTATGGAATAGAGTGAAGAAATCAAGAATTTTGTTAAAGAACCAAGTGATGTATAGTCCATTTATACTAACATCACAGGAGAAAAAGCACTCACGGCACTAGTGAGATCTTAGAAAAAGAAAATGACATCCTAGGGACAGAAGGAATGCATGGAGAGTTCCTAACCCGACAAATCAAACTAGCAATAAGAACGATCTATTTCACGTTCAACAGCCTCATCTCTGAGCAAATATTTGGTCTGTCTATGGGCTCTCCACGCCCACTTCTGTTGGTTAATGTATTCATAGAAAAATTGGAGGAGAATGTCAAAATTTCATCCCAGCAGCCAAGAGTAAGTCTGCGATTTTTGGATGATTACTTCGCAATTCGGTGGCATGGAGAAAAGAAAAACTAGACGATTTCCTGATCTTTATACGCGAAATGGATGAAAAAGTCCAATTTACCATGGATGTGGAAGAGAACGGGCACTTTACATTATTGGATGTGGAAGTCATTTGCTCAGAGGAAATTCTCAAGAAAAACTTTTCCGAAATAAATCGCATGCTGGAATAACTCTTAACTTCCAGTCAAACCATACTTATGGGACGAAGATTGGAATACTCCGGAGTATGACCATAAGAAGAGTTTTGGGAAAGCTAACTCACCTTAAACGAAATAGGGTGAATACATCTCATATTCCTGATTTACTGGTAGTCTCTAAACTCTACTTACATATGAAAAATAAGTAAAGTAGTCGATTGTTATGGCAAAAATTCGTCCGCTTCATCGACAATCCCACCAAAGAATGTAATATGGGAATACATCTCATATTACTGATTTACTGGTAGTCTTGGAACTCTACTTACATACGAAAAACTAACTCGGATGTTTCTTTAAAGCGTATATCCAGAATCAACAATACAACGCAACATTATAATGGTGATGAGCAGATGGAAGGAAGGAGACTATGAAAGGAAAGCAAGATGAGCAGAATAAATGAATTGGAAGTGGGAAATCGACAAATGCATAATGAACTCACTCATACTAAAGGATGCAAGAGCCCAAAATATTATACAGTTTGCCGAAATTACACAAAACAGGAGAACCATTGAGACTAAAAATCAACCGATGAAATGACGAGCGACTTTTGGGTCACAGGGCAAATGTAAATTTTCAAGCAAGGCCAGGCCTTGTTGCCATATCATATATTCTTTTGGTGGAATTGTCGATGAAGCAAACGTATATCTGCTATAACAATCGACTAATATACTTTATTTTCCGAATTAAGTATTGTTTTCAAGACTACCAGTAAGCCAGTAATATGAGATGATGGGGGAGAGGATAATTGGGTCATGGGTTTGAAGCCTATTGAGAGGAAGATTCCCAGACACTGACATGTACATGGACATGGACATGTACATCATCTGCTCTAACTCCTCGAATATGACGCAATCGAGCACGGGCATAGAAAGTTCTTAGGCAGTCCGATTTTAGACAGCCAAACAGTGATTTTGATGTTTAGCAACGGCCAATTGGCAAGTGGGTAGGAAAAAAATGGGGGGCAGAATGTAGACGAGTGGCCCTGCAAACGGCATCTGGTACCGGTGGTGGAGATTATTACGCTCCGCTAAACCGACTAGTAGCGACACACTCTAAGACGACAGTGAAGGAAGTGACAGCACAGAATTGTGTCAATAAGTGAAGTTGGGTTGAGAGAAAGAGATGCGGCACTAGAAGGTAAAACTGAAAATAGGTGCGAGGAGTGATGCTACAACGGTTGAACAGAAGATTTTCAGAAGTGGGTTTGCCTCGTTGTCGCAACTTGGTCTTGTTGTCAGGGCGACTTAGTAGAACGCACCAAGTCCGAAGTCGTCTGCCATGGTAGTTGTCATGATTCCCAGCATCAGACAGTGGACTTGGTATCTTCTCAAACGTTTCGCCGGCATCGTAGTCGGCATCATCACTGAGTTTTGCGATGTACCAAGTCCACTGTCTGATGCTGGTAATCATGACAACTACTATGGCAGACAACTTCGGACTAGGTGCGTTCTACTAAGTCGCCCTGACAACAATACCAAGTTGCGACAACGAGATCAACCCACTTGTTTAAATCGAACGGAGACTGCGACCACACCCGATGCCACGACATCTTGATCTTCATATCTTCAATTAAACTACGGTAGAAGATTGTCACTTTAATAAGTTGTAGATCTCTGCTTACGATGATGTCTCTCACTGACGATGACGACTATGATGTCGGCGAAATGAATGGGAATGTACTCAGCCAATGTTTCAATGTTGCAAATCATGACAGACGATTCGGGAATAGCTACCTTCCGCAAGGTCCTCCCGAGTCTTCGACCAAGTTGCCAAAACAAGGTCGAGCCAACAGTGTAAAGCTAAAGGAACAGAATTTTACACCATCTTGGTCTTCATGTCCACGATCAAACGAGAAATGTGTTTATGTTTATAGCAAATAGGACCATACAAACACCATAGAATATGTTTTGTGAAAATTTCGGCCTTCCTTGAAATTCCCACTTGCCTTGTGACTCAATGGCATTCGTGACAATGTGGCGTAGTTGTCGACGTGTCGAGATTGTATGATGCTCTATCAAGTTTCGAGACGCCATTCCACTCATATCTGAATGAAAATACCTTTTTAGAATTGATGGCATTGTGGAAAAATGAAACTACCCTTGCTTCTTCACAATTCTTATATCGTTCTCATGCCACACTCTCTGGTGGGATTGTCGATGAGGCAAAGTTGTA